GTCGAAAAATTATGAATTTTTCCTCACTCTAGAAATGTCATAATACGGAAGTCCTTGTCACCCAGATCACAAATCTGACATCCGTTTTTGAAGATCTGATCCCTTTCTTGCCGTGTTTGCCATAGTGGGGTACCTAAGTCTCCGTAGGGTAGTTCCGTGAGGTTTCAAACACAAACAGATAAGTATTCAGAAAATTTTCTTTTCCCTCAAACTTTGTAGAGCTTTTTTCGCTGATCATTTTCGTATAAGAAAGTTTTGAATTCTATTGTGAAATGACGACGCTATCGTCAAAATAAAAAAAACATAGTAAAATACAGTAAAATAGTTTAAATCCCATTTTTTCTTATAAAACATTGAAAATGGTTGAAAAAAAAGGATTAGATCTAGACAAACGGATGTCAGATTCGTGATCTGGGTAACAAGGACTTTCGTATTATGACATTTCTAGAGTGAGGAAAAAGTCATCATTTTCGACCACCCCCTTTCCAATATAGCCACAGATAAACTATGACGCACACTGGAACGCAATGAACCATCTGTATGTGTTCCCAACAATAGTGTTGCATATAGCATCACAAAAATATGTCTTGAGGGTAAGACTGATGATAGAAATTAGACTGACGATAAGAGAATAACGCACCTTCATCCATACCCACACCCACTCTCAAGACGTTAAAGAGACTTGGAAAGATAAAACTTTTCTTTCTTCGAAATATCGTAAGTGAACTGAGGTAAATATTTGCTTTTGCGATTATAATAAGACAAAAAATATCAAGTGTATATTCTAAATCATTCTATCTATTCACAAATACTGCGATGTGTATCTGTTATTCTAAAATACGAAAAATAAGAATACATCTGTTAAATCGAATCGTCTATAATTGCTGATTTGAACAACAATGTGTCCCTAAAACGTTTTGCTTTTTGCTGTGTCTTTCTCTATGTTAGCGGCGCATCATTGCCGTCATTGAACGATGATGTCATCCAAGTGGCCAAACAAATATGGGATGAGAAAACAAATCATACAGACATTATTCTGAAGAATTACTTCGAGTGGCTTCAGTTTCGTTGTAACCCATTATGGATGCGGGTGTGGAGTGAGAGTGGGTGCGTGTGTGATAAAGCAGACCGTGGCCATGATTCCGACCTTGCTTAAGGGTCTCATCAGACGGCTATAGTTGTATATATACTCTATTCTAATGGTCCGAAGATCTTGAGAGTGTGGATGTGGGTAGGTGTGGACAAAGAAAAGATGAATTTGGACTCACTCTCACTCTCACATTCACACCCACCCTCAAGATGGTATTCGCAATAGAAAGACCAATTCTCATGCAAGCACACACACCCTTTCCTTTAGAACGCCAACTGCTGAAATTACCGTTAGATAAAACATTAAAGATAATTATTACAGAACTTTAAAAATAACTGAATGATATCATTTCAAAAACCATATTGTATTTGTTTTATCACTCTGTCGTTGGTCATACTTTATAAAATAATCATCTTTTACATCAGTACTTAATACACAAATTTATTTTTTTATTACATTATTTAGTTTATTTCTCACTTGTCAATTTTTTTTTCATTATAAAAAAATCGAACTTTACATTATCTAATTTACTAAGCAAAAACAGTCAGTTTGAGAAGAAAATAAATATTGTTTTATAATGGATACCATGAAGCAGGTTTACATGATTCAATTCCAAAGACAAACCAAAAAAATGCATAACATATTAACATTATTAAATATAAAATATTCGATTGTTTAATCCATCTTGCTTGTAGAATAATTTCTTTTGCTTGTTTTCGTTTAGCATGTGGACCAGTTAAACGATATTGAGCATTTAATAATGATCCACACATTAATTTAATCCATAAATTTGGTTCTTGAAAAAATATTCTTGTTAAATCTGGTCGACATCCAATAGTTCTTGCTAAATTATCTGAATAAATTAAATAATCTGTTAAATTAGTCAATCGATCAATACGATAAGATGTTAATTGCCATTTTAAATATTTGACATAATTGTATATTTGTTTATTCATTTCTAATTTTGTTGGTAGTTTTAATTTTTTTGAACATAATAAAGCAAACCAACGTGCTTGCAGTTCTGATAATGGTGGAATTGCACCTAATGCAGGACGAGCAAAACCATGCCAAATAATTTCATCTCCAAAATCAGGATGAAAACAATGTTTAAATAAATTATGAGAAATTTTTGCGTCATTAGCAAGACGTTTCATATCGGAATTCGATTGAGAATTTTGTTCAAGAAATGGAAATAATATTTGAAAACCTGTACAACAAATAATTTCATCAACATATTCTTCGGAATTATCATCGAATATAATTGAATTTCTTTTTAATTCTTTTATACCAGGTTTTCTCGAACATTTATCTTTATATTTAACTAATGCTTCGACTAGATTAGAATTTTTTGTTCCAAATGTTGTCCAAATATTACTTGTTTGAATTTGTTTTAGATTCATATAAATTCCTGTTCTTCTTATTAAATTATATTCATCGAACTGATCTTCATTTTGATAAAAAAATGAATTAAAATATGATTTTATTAAACTATGAATCATATCAATATAAGTATGTAAAACACCCCATGCTCTTGGAATAGAATGATGAGCTCTTGATGTATCTAAATCAGCTGGTTCATCTCTGTTACCATGAATATATCGTGGAATAATAAATCCATGATCTTTTCTAATTGATAGAAAAGCTTGTTTTCCATATTGTGCAGCAGCTAATATCATATCACTTGCTGATTCTCCACTTCCTACAATACAAATATGTTTATTGCGAAAATCTTCATAAAATTGAATATCTTTTAAATGTTTAATTTTTCCTTGAAATGAATGTTGATTATGAAATAATGGAATACTGGCATTTTCAAAAATTCCACAACAAATTGCAATACGATCAAATGAATAAATATGGTTTAAATTATTTACACAAATTTTCCATTTATTATCTGAATAATCTTTCCATAAAGATTTAACTTCTGTTTGAAATTGAATAAATTCTTTTAAATGAAAATAATCAGCATAATCATTTAAATATTGACTATATTCAATAAAGGATAACATTCGAGGTTTATTAAGAATTTCTTTATCTTTTCCAACAAAATCACTAAACATAGTTAATAAATGACTTGATACAAGTATTCCTTGTTGATATGCTTGTGTAAATAAACCACCAAGTAAATTAGACTTTTCAAAAACTGTACATCGATGACCTTCAGCTAATGATTCTTTCAATGTTACTAATCCACTAGGTCCACAACCAATTATTCCAACGTCAACTTGTATATAGTTATCACCCATTTGTTGTTTGATCTAAATAAAATTTTCTGATGAATTGACCATCTGTCTTCGATTATTCCACAAGAAAATTGATATATATATATAATATCATGAGAAAGAAGACAAGAGAAAGAGAAGAAAGAGACAATGAATGAATGAACATATGAAAGAAATGAAAAATGATGTCACTATCGAACGAGATTTATATAAATAGGATGCAATCATTAGGTGTGGGTGTGGGTGTGGATAAAAAATCATCATATAAAAGCTAGTATTTCACGATGTGTATACTTCAAATTTGCAATGTGATGTGTGAGTCATATTGATTTTTTATATTTTACAAAAAGTAATTTTCATCGTTATTCACCTGATTTTTCTGTTCTTTACCTTTTTTCTCACGTAGTGCGAATGCGTTCACATTTTTGTTTTTGATTTTGTATGTAGTACGAATGCGTTCGCATTTTCTTGTTATTGGCGTATAGTACGAATGCGTTTACATTTATATGTTTAATGTCTCCTATAAATACTGCGAGTTATTTCACATATGTGTATATACAGTTAACTATTATTCTTTTTAAAAAGTAAATATGTCTTACAAAATACCACAACGTCAATTGGGTAAAAATGGTCCAAAGGTATCAGCTATTGGATTTGGAGCAATGGGTTTATCAGTATCTTATGGAAAAGTTGCTTCTGATGAAGAACGTTTTAAAGTTCTTGATCGTGCAATTGAACTCGGAAGTACTTATATTGATAGTGCTGATAAATACGGTGATAATGAAGATTTACTTGGAAAATACTTCAAAAAATATCCACAACAACGACAAAAGGTAATCGAAAATATTTTATTTTTAATTCAAAAGTATAACAAAAGTTTTGTTGTCGAACAGATATTTCTTGCATCAAAATTCGCAGGTGTTATTTCTCCAGATGGGTCATATTCAGTTCGAGGTGATGCTGAATATATTCATGAAGCAATTGAAAGTAGTCTTAGCCGTCTTCAAGTTCCATATATTGATCTTTATTATGTTCATCGAATTGATCCAAAAGTTCCAATTGAAGAAACAATGACTGCATTAAAAGAACTTGTTCAACAAGGAAAAATCAAATATATTGGTTTATCAGAATGTTCAAGTGATACAATTCGACGTGCATATGCAATACATCCAGTATCTGCTGTACAAATTGAATATTCTCCTTTCAGTTTAGATATTGAAAAAGAAGAAATTGGTGTTTTAAAAACGTGTCGACAATTTGGAATAGCAATTGTTTGTTATTCTCCGTTAGGACGTGGAATGCTTACTGGACAATATAAAAGTCCTGATGATTTTGAAACAAATGATAGTCGAAGATTATTTCCAAGATTTTCAAAAGACAATTTTCCAAAAAATCTTCAATTGGTTGAAACATTTAAAAAACTTGCTGATAAAAAAGGTTATACATCGGGACAATTATCATTAGCTTGGATACTTGCTCAAGGTGAAGATTTTTTTGTTATACCAGGAACAACGAAAATCAAAAATTTAGAAGAAAATGTTGGTACAGCTGAAATTGAATTAACTCAAGAAGAAATAGAACAACTTCGACAAGCTTGTCAACATGCTGATATAGCTGGAGATCGATATCCAGAAATATTTAATCTTTATCCATTCGGCAAATCAGCTCCTCTTAAAAACTAAAACTATTTTATTTTATTCTAATATTTTTTGTAATACATAATTTATAATTAAATCATAGAGAAGAATTAAGAAATATTTAGAACACTTTGCATAAGTGGGGTAATTTGATCTACACTATTTCTTGAAGTAAGATGGTTACGAAGAAAGTTTTGAAATATTTTACTCGTTGATTGAAGTCGAAAAACCATGTTAAGCAATTGAATAAAATATTTACAAGCTTGTTGTTCATCCCATTTATTAACTAAATAATTCCAAAATAATTTTATGTAATAAGATTGAATTCGATTAACAGCCAATGAATCTTTTAATATTGGTTCTTCTTCATTCATTAATAAACCTTGAGAAAAAACAAGAATTATCAGAACAAAACATAAGATCATTGCATCTTGATTAGTTAATTGAACAAGTGATATTACTAATTTTACGAGTGTATCACGAAGATCATACGTTTCATCGAATAACATAAAAAATTGATCAAATCTTCTTGTTTCTTCATTCTCTTTGCTTGAAAGATAATGATTGTCTGGTTTATAATTGAAACATTTATATATTGGAAAAACTGGAAGAAGATTATATTTCATTAAAATAAAACGATCATCACTATTTAAACCTTCAAATTCATTAATTTGACGAAAAAAATTGATAAAACGTAAAGCAGTCTGATCAGCGTAGTTTAAACAAGACATAATAGCAGAATCACGATCTGTTATATTAATACTAAATTTATGTGCATTGTCATCCTGCATAGTTGATATAAATAATCTTTGAAGATTTTCAATTGTTATCCATTCTTCAGTAGATAAAGTATCCAATACTGTTTCTTCCATTTCATTTAATTCAATATTATTGTTGTCATTATCCAAATCCAATAGTAACTGAGGAATAAAATTAGTATTTAATAAATTTTCTTCAAGATATTTTTTCTTTTTTTGTTTTGTTTCTTTTTTAACAATAAAATCTTTTCTCATTCCCATCATAAAACATCGACTAAGTCGACATCGATGACATTTACGATTTATTCCATGTATAACTAAACATTCATTATTACCTGTTAAACATTTTAATTCTTCCTAGAAACAGATAAACAATTTAAATTAAATGACAAATCAAATAAACGAACCAATTGTTGATAAGCATTTCGACGAAAAAAAGCTTTGCATGATGCACATGATAGAACATCATAATTAAAACCAATCGCACGATCACCACATATTTTACAAATTAAATCAATTGATTTTTTTGAAATTTCTTTTTCTTTTGATTGATTATGATCAGTTGAATTCTAGAAATAATTAGTTCTAATCTTAAGAATTTTTTTTGTAAGAAATAAATACAAACAAGTTCAGATAATTCTGCAAGAGCTAAATTAATCATATTTTTATCATTTATTGTCAGTGACATTTGTTCATGATCATCCAAATCGATAATACGTGTATTTGTTGATTTAGTTGCAGATATTTTATGAACTAGATCTTCATCTGATGTTATAAATATCATTTTAGTTTGACCAGACATAGTCTTCCTCTTTGAATGACGAGAACAAATATTTCAAGCTAAAAGAAAAAAAAACAAGAAAATGAATGTCAAAATACAAAATATACTTTTTTTTCTTTTAGGTAAAAAAAATTACAGAAAAGAAAACGAAAAAAAAGCAATACTTATCGAAAAACACGGTCTATTACGCATTTATTCTCACTGTTATAACTGTAGATGGTGTACATATAGTTTTTCATTTGTACATACATGCACCGATATTGTCATAGTGATTGACTGAGATGGTAATGATATTAATGAAAAGAAATTTGAGGAGGTGGGAGATGAAGGTATAAGTCCGTTGAAATATTCATATTCACGCACACCCTCAAGATGTTATTATTATTCTATTCTGTGTTGAATTCATTTATGATATTGTGATTAAAATAAAACTTAAAAAACTACCCGAAATGAAACAAATCATTTATTTTATTGAATAAAGAATATGAACATGATATTATGGACTTTCTTTTCTAAATATTCATTTGAATAAAATATTATTATTCTCCAAATTAATGCTTAATTCACACTAGTTGACAATAAGAAAAACAATCACAAAGCATGTATGGACGCCTGCTACCTACTTGAAGTCTGTTCGAACAAATGATGACCTTAGAACGTTCCAGACTTTACAATTGTTCTAGTACTTTTTAGAACATATATTGTATCTGTTTTATACTCAAGAGTTCGCATGAATCTTAGGTAGACAAAAAATATTTTAAGTTTTATATGTGACCATGCCACGATTAAACATGAAATTCTGTAGATAAACTTGAATAAGGTGGAGGTAAGTCATTTTCTCGTTTGATAAGTGATGTTGTTTCAGTTGTAATTTGATCTGAATAAGGTGGTACATTTCCAATATCAATTACTATCTGAAAACTAATCAGAGTAAAACGATTTTTATTCGATAATAACACTTACACGATAAACTAGTCGTTGATACTGACCATTCTCATATGTTCCACACCAATGTCTTTTCGTTTCTAATTTCCATGTACATGGTATCGGTGTTCGTGATGAATATTTCATTGATTCCTTGGCAACTGCTTCTTGGATTCGTTTCGTAAGTCGATATCGTATGAGAGAAAATCCAACAAGACCACAACTTGATGCACAAAAAAGCAAAGAAATTCCAACACCAGTTAATGCAGGAAATTGAGTCGTACTAGTATTCTCTTGTAATCCAGCACCAAGAATAGTTAATGTCATTCCAATGACTAAAGTCAAAGAAAAAATAATGGAAACAATCAATAACATTTTCTTAAAGGACATTGCACGATTGATTTGTTGAATTGATTCTCGATATTCATCTCGATTAATAATATCAATCAGATGAAATGGATAGGTTGAATTAAATTCTATTGTTATACATCCGGCTGAAAAAATATAAAATATTAAGATTGTATTCAATCGTAGAGATGTTATACTTTGAATAGTTGATATATAAATTGATTTTGGATACACAGAAGCATCGAACATTGTTCCTCTCTTTTTAAATCAAGCTATAATAAAAAAAAGTAATATCTCATAAATAAACTAACTAACAAATCTATCGAAATGATACAAAAAAAACAACAGAATTATATTATAGAAGAGAAGAAATTGTTTATAGTTCCACGTGATCATATGACTTTTTTTTATTACAATGTCAAATAATAAAAACAAGCATTACAATGTAGTCGATGTTGTTTCATTTATCTTTCCTATGCAAAGAACGACAAAAAAAACTTTAAAAATTCTTCTAATGTCTTTGTTATCAATGTTAACATAATAGTGTAGACAATGAAAAAGAATTATTATATTCAGTTGTTCTAATCGTAACAACTATTTTTATTTTGATTGTTTTAATAAGAAAGATCACATTCTACAATAAATACTTCAAAAAATGACGAAAACAACTAAGATAACAAATTATATTTAATATGTTGTTTACCGAAAAAAAGTATAGTTGAATCCCATCATTTCGAATGTGTTAAAACCACTAACTATCATAGATAGATGAAAATAATTCTCCATTGATCTTGCGATGGTATTGAATAGTTTCAGTTTATTGCTCATAAATATATGCATCTACTTTTAGAACAGTTAGATACAAAAAAACATTTTTAAATTCTTATAATTTATTAGCATGTTAACATACTTATTCAGCTAGATTAATATGGTTTTACAAGTAACAGAATAATGAATACTACATTTTATTATATACAAAAGATTAAACAATCATCAAAGACAACTTTATTTTGGAGCTTTGATTCGTTTACATTTGTTACGACCTAAGGTGTGTTTGACACAAATATCAGGCTCGCAACATTTAGTGATACTGAATGTACTACATTTAACACATCTTGAACGATCATGTCGTCGTTTTTCCATGTGATGTTCTGTCATACTTCCAACATCCCATTCAGATGACACAGGATGGCCGTTGCTTGGAAACATTTCCATACCATCAGATGAGTTTAATAAAACTATGCATGCAATTGCAAGAATGATAATGATGCTTGATTTCATTTGAAATAATTCTAAAATTAACAAATTTTCATTAAAGATTTATTTAAATTACATGAATGTTAGAAATAAGTGTAGACTTACTTTCAGAATACTTATGTATTGATTAGTGTGTTTCTTTAACTTTTTTATAATGAATATTTCGTACAAAAAGCGATGCCCTTTTATACTCGTTATTATCTTGTTAACGCTCGCGATGTGTATTTTTCGATATATTTCCATTGGTTATTTGTAATAAAAAAGAAGATAACTAGAGGTCAAATAAAAGGCACATTCGAGCTTATTTTCTTGTTTCTTTATTATAAACGTGTTGTATGCAAACATTTTAGTCAAGGTTCATAGTCAATTGGTGTACAATCGTAGAAGAAAAGAAAATATATAAAACAAATCCATCTGTGACCTATTGACACATCGATAAGAAAATATTCGAATATGCAAACATAATTGGTTCAAGTGTGTTGAAAATAAAATATGCTCTTCTTTCTTATCTTACGATCATCGAGCAGATGTTTTTTCTCACGCACTTATTGAAAAGAAGTTTTTATTTGATGACTACCTATTTTTAGGAGATTAACTGATAATAACTTCTGAACAAAACTTTGTAAATATAAGTCAGTGTGAATGATGAATGAATAGTATATTATATCAACTAGCTCGAATTTGTTTATCTTTTGCAAAGTTAATAAAAACTATATCATTAGAAAGATCGTGACAAATTCTGTATACTCTAGCCTCCAACAAGGATCTTCTAGCTAGAATTGATTTTGGTAATGAAAAATTTTTCTGAAAAGATTCAATAAAAAAAGTTCTCTCCGGAATAAATAAATAAAATCTCTAAATTGTATAAAAGTATTCATGTATTATCCAATGTACAGAAAAATGCGTACATATGATAAAATACCGCATATCTCAGAAATGGTTTGTCTGAAAATTTGAAAATTTTATATAAAAGTTAGTCTAGTTGAGGTCAAATAGGAAAACTATACTAAAAAGATTATATTCTAGTCAACTTAAAACATGCTCTCTTACTTTTAGTATCTTCATGATGATTTTAATAATACATTGCGAAGATTTAGAAATGATCGCTGATAATTAACAAATAAACTTCTTCTGTACACATATGCTAGATGAATTAAAGCAACAAAGAATATTGAGATAATAGAGAAATTCAATTTAAATTATACTTCTTTTATTTTATCAATTAAGCTCTTATATTTTCTAAACTAAATAGACAATGTGTTAATGTAAGTATTTTTTGAGAATTTTTTATCAATCGATTGAAAAATATGCTCAACATTGTTTTTCTGAAGGTATTCAAAATATAGATGATTTAATTGTAATACTTAATTGTGAACTTTCTTGAATTCTTAATCTTCATTATAATCGTTCAAATCATGTAAATGTAAAATAATATATTTTTCTTTTTCAATTATAAATTTTCATTAATGTTTTTTTTCCTGTAGATACCAGTTAGTTTTAAAGAAATTGCTCAAGCAGCATTAAAAGAATTTTTTCTTGCTATACAACAGCAATAGAAAGATGTTGAATCATCATGGAAAAAAAGTATTTATAAAGTTATGCGACATTTTGAACATCAAATATCAGACTTTTTTAAACATGATCATTGAATGCATTCCATTTGAATAGTACAAATCTTTATTCATTTATTATTCAAATGTAACGTTTTTCTTCTTCTTTTTTTTGTTTTGTTTTGGTTGCGTTAATTATTTTATCGGATCATGTTCTTGGATAAATGTTGAAAGATTTTATGACAACTAATTGTTTGTTAATGTATTTATCTTTTTAGAAAACTACACGTGCTTGTTGATGATATATAAATGTTTTCTAAAGTAATTTAGTAAGTAATGCCGCAGATACATAAGTCATAGACAGTTATTTGATATTATGGAAAAGAATGAAGTTAGATAGAGGAAGTTTAACAACTATAAAACAAATCTTTGATGATTCTATTAAAGAAATATATCTAATGGGAAGAAAGTAGTTCTTAAACAATGAATATAAATTGAAAAAGTTGAAATATATATATATATATTCATTTTAATATAATTCAAAATAATATTATTTACGATTTTAGAATTTTCAAATGTTAATCACTCGTTTAGTTTTCTAAACAATCAATCTCAAAATAAAAAAATGTTTACAAATTTCATGAATATTTTATTATTTAGTCATAATAAATGAAGTATTAAATAACACAGCAGAATATAAAATTCACTTTTATTTTATAATTAAATAGCTGAACAATATGAGTTACCAAAGCAGGAAGAAGCATGTTTGCTAGTTTTCATTAGATTTTTGCACCAATTCATTTATAAAAACTCTTCAGTCACCGGTTTACTGCGTGCAAATTTTAAATATTATGATTTTGTTTTAGAAATGTCGTTTTTTTTTAAACAACAACTCTCGAGAACATTTTTGAAATAAATATTGAATCACTTATTATAGCTGGATTTTTTCTAATCATGACTTTAAAAATATGACATATTATGACTTTCCAATTTTTTAGACATCAATACTATTCTATACACAACAAGCTTATTGTCATATAGATAAAGTGGAATGTACAAAGATTTTCTTAAAAAAATCAAACGATACCTATGTATCATTATTTTCACTAATATTGCTATATTAGCAATCACGGTACCACTTCTTGTTTACTTTATAATTCATTCTAAAAATGATGAAGTTACACCAGTTAATATATCAAATACAACAACTACTGCTGAAAATCAATTAACAAATGGTTTTACTACAAAAATAAGTACAACAAGTAAGTATTAATAAATAAATTTGTAAAACTAGAGAATTAATTTTTTCAGATAAATACAAGTAATAACTATTTTAGAACATTGCTGGAAGAATTGGTACTGTAGAAATTATTACAGAATTGATGAATATTACAATGAGTGAATTGCATATGAAAAATAGTTCTCTTTATAGTTCAGAGTGCAAATTCTTCTTTTATGTCGTTGAACAACAGCATAGTTAAGATTTCTTTCGAAGGGTATCTCAATAATCCTCAGTTTTTTTACTATGATTAACATAATCATATTTACTTGCAGAGATATAAACTCATAAATATATAAATTTTCCTTCCTATAGTATAGAATACGCAAATAATCAATTAAGATATTGTCGGAGATCAGCTTTCACCGTAACAATAAGTAAAGTGTTATATTTTACAAGAAATATCATAAGGGTGTTTACTCAGATTATTCGGAAAGCAGCTCGTATCTAATCAGGTTAAATGATCGCAATATATAATCAACGGCAGCCTCAATGAGAAAGTTAACAGCTTAGAAATATTACATATAGTAAAGTATCGTGAAGAGTCTCTCTTAGTTAAAGAATCTTCTAAATAAATTAAAAGTTTTAATCTTATTAATGAGTCTGTATGTAGTAAGTCACTTTGTATAGTTTTCATCGAAATGACTACGACAATGCGAACTCAAGAGATGATAAGTAAAAGGAATTCTATACATGAACTGAAATAAATCTAAATTTGATTATCAATACATCAAAATTTTAGTTTATTACTACATATAATATGTAAGGCTATTTACAAAGTATAGCACGCAAATTACAAATATTCTATCATCTGTAAAAATTGCTAGCACAATGATAAGTAAATCATTGAGAATGATTTTCATAAGCATGTGTAAATAGATTTAAAAAGAATTTATTAAGAATCGTTCAGTCATGAATTTTAATATAATTTGATGAGATGTTTATTTGTCATGTATACTAAATAAATATAAATTATCTAAAAAGAACATTATTGCAAGATATAAGATTTAACCTATGTTTCTTATCAGGAAGAAAAAGAAATGAATAAAATTATTTTATATTTACAGATAACAACAATCAAACATCGACTTCTACTCAATTAGTCTTTTGGAATATAGATAAATCACTTAACACTGGACGATCTAACTTTGGAAGCGTATTATTAGCAAATGGGCAAGTTCTTGTAGCTGGAGGTTTACTTAATTCCAATACAGATTATTCAGGGACTGAAGTTTATACATCAACCGGATGGCAAGTTGCAACTTCGATGACAGGACCACGTGGTTTCCATACTGTTACTGCTTTTGCAAATAATACTAAAGTATTAGCCGCTGGTAGTGCAGGTATATCCGGTAAACAAACTGCCGAAGTATATAACATTGTAAACAATAGATGAGCATTAACATCAATCAATATGTCAAGTTCTCGTTACTCACACACAGCTACACTACTTTCAAATGGACAAATACTTATTGCAGGTGGATCGAACGCTTCAGGTATAAGTATATCTGCAGCCGAGCTGTATATTCCATCATCAAACTCATTTATTAACGCAACTAATATGAATATAGCAAGATGTTGTTTTACAAGTACACTTCTTAGTGATGGATCCACTGTACTTGTTACAGGAGGTATTAATGCTGCTAATTCTCTCATTACAATAGCAGAACTTTATATTAATGGCTCTTGGATTCCCCTATCCAGTAGTATGACTCAAGTTCGAGCTTATCATGCTGCTGTATTATCAAATGATGGAACTGTATTAATTGCAGGCGGAGGTAGCGGTACACCAAATGCATACTCAAGTGCTGAGATTTATAATGCAACAACACAAAACTTTATAGCTGTTGGATCAATGCAATATCGTCGAGGAGGATTAACACTTACACTTCTACCATCAGGTAAAGTATTAGCAATTGGTGGTGCTGATTGGACATCAGATACATATCCACTCGTATGTGAATTATATGATCCTGTAACGAGAACTTGGTCAAATGCACTGATGTTGAATTATGGAAGAAGTTTTCATCAAAGTGTTTTAACAAATACTTTTGTATTAACCATGGGTGGTACCAATGGAACCAGTAATAGACTTACCAGTTCTGAAAAATACAATTTATGAAACATTATAATCAATATTAACTCAGCTGTGATAACATTTCTTCTTTTTCAAATCCAAATAATATATCTCATAAACTTAATTATATTGAATAGATCAAAATCTGTATTTATTCTTCATATAAGTAATATAAATAATGATCCGATAGTTATGATTTATATGAAAATCAGTGAAGAACTGATTATCTGCAAGAATAATATAAAATGTAGTGTATATTAAATTGAATAAAACTCGAATGACATGCTGTTTCAATCTTTTATTCTATTGAGAAATTCTACTAATTAAAATTTACATAACTGGAAGTAAACTGATAATAGTTAGCTGAAAGGTAGATTTTTTTGTATCAAACATGTTAGTTTTGTAACTACGAACAGGAGAAGTTTATATTCATGTTTATCAAAGACTTGAAATATATAACATCATTAAAATATAATTTCATGCTACAACAGACTTATAAATTGCATTTTTTGAAGCAAACCATGATTATATTCTATTCTAATAGTATTAACAGTTTTATGATTAGATATTGTATTAGTACTGATAATATTATTGATTAATTAATTCATTTATTGAATAAATATCACAACTACAAAATGAAAAAGAATTACACAATAAATAAAATTATGATAGAATGTTCAATTACTCATCAAGAATATTATATAGTATCAGGTATGAACTTCAATCAAACGAAGATACTCAACGTAGTTTTACTGGAAGAAGATATCTACCAGTCGCTATGTATATTAATTCAAATACATTTGAATGTGATGGTGCATGTTACAGTTATTCACTTCCATATGATTTCGAGCAATTTCATCTGAATAATTTATTTCAAGGTGGTACATTTCACAAAGTTCGACATTTAATAATGATTGAGAGAGGACCTTTTGAAGATAAATTATTTGAATATATTTCTCGAGATTTTCCTTTTCTTGAAATCTTAGAAGTTAGTAATGTTTGGCCGCAAGAAAGCTATCAATATTCATTTACATTAATGACATTTCCATATTTGAAATATCTTAATCTAGAATATTCACATTTGTGTTACACTGTACAATTTCTTTTAAAAACAAGTATGCACTTACCTCGTTTATTATATCTTTCTATCCCATATCAATCACTTGTATTTCTAACAAAGAATTTTACGACTGATCCATCATATTTCAATTTTGACACTTTGAAAAGTCTTGATCTATGTGAATCATTTTTTCGATCAGAAAATTTTCATCATTACTTTCCTTTATTGTAAAATTATTTCAATAAATAACAATATGAAATATAAATTTTCGTTTACACTATATAACAACAAAAAACACTAA